CCAGAGAGAGCAGGGGTGGGGCGGGCCTGGGCTGCTGGTGCGACTGTCCTTGCTGTCACAGCTGTCTCTGTCTTTGTGGGCAGCAAGCAGTCCAGAGGAGCCCTGGGCTGAGACAGGCTCCGATCATATGCCATGCAAGGGCCACTTAGGAGCCACCCCATCCACTGAGGGGCTCCAGACAGACCTTGGAGTGACCTCCAGGCTGGGGTGCTGTTGACAGACATTCCAGAGGGGCTTCCACGTAAGGAGGGACTGATCAGTGTGACATCCTGGCCTGATACTGCTTAGAGGGGCCGCTGGCCAAGCCAGTCTCCAAGAAGCCCTCAGGTGGGAGACCTTTGAGGGTGTCCCCAAAGCGAAGCCCTTCACAGAACTCTCAGAATGAGACCCTTGGGCATGGGGGCCTGTGTAAGTAGAGACCAAAGAACAGGAGAGCCCTGGATAGGGGACCTCCACTCTGATCTCAGAGTTCAGGAAAGACTCCCAGGAGCTTTGGCTCTGGGCCCCACCCCATCCTTGCCCCCACCAAGCTGGGTACCCCACTGAGCCCAGGCAGATGAGGAGGCCGCTTGGCTTAGCACAGTCCAGGGTGTTCAGGGTGACATCTTAGGCGCTGGATTGGAAGGTGGGTGGTGCAAGCTACTGCAGGGTGAGGGGAGACATAGGACTCGTCGGAGGCAAGCACTTGTAGCCCGACCAGTTTGGAGAGGTTGTCAGCTGCCAAGCGGCTCATCTGGGCCTTGAATATGTGAACCAAAGGCTGACGGGAAGTCAGGCCCGAGCTGGGTGGCTCCCTCTGCCCTGCTGAGCTTCTTAGGCCCTTCCTCCCACATTCATCTGTCTGCCATCAGGATTGGGAAGGCTCCGGGGTCTGGATAGGCTTGAGTGTCACTATTAAAATTGGCCTTGGTTGAGAAGAGAGGGCAAGAAGGAGGGGAGAGAGGGAGGAGGGAGACCTTGAGGGGGGTAGTAAAAATCAAACAAAATAAATAAGAGAGAGAGTGCCACACAGAGGTCTCTGGGACCTCTTTCAAGTGCATCATCCTCTTCTGTCTCAGTCCTGCTTTTCCTTTATTCCTGGTTACTGAGACCCTCTCTTCTTCACAGAATGTCCAACTGCACACCTTCCTCCAGCCTTTCTTCCTTTCTGTTCCAGGGACTCCACATGCTGATCTGGGGCCAGGGGCATCCCAGCCCCAGCCCTCCCTGACTCCTTCCTCCTGGCAGCGATAGGACAGGCTGGGAGCCCTGGCTGATGGAGGGTGGGGCCTGAGCTGCTGGTTGCTAGCCCAGGCAGGCGCAGCCTTAGCAGGGGTGGCTGAGAGTTGAGGCCCAGCCCGCCTTCCCCGCCTCCCCTCCTTTCCCCCAGGTATATGAGCTGAGCCCAGGTGAGCTGGCTCCTCCCGTCCAGTCTCAGCGGCTGCCAGCAGGTAAGGAGACCAAGGCTTTTTACCTAGAAGCTCCTGAACTCCAGTTTAGAGTTATTACAGTGTCCAGGTTGATGGTGTCTGGGGGCACCTGCACCAGTACTTCCTGTGTCTTCTAGGGCAGAGCCTGGGATGGGGCCCTGGAGCTTGGGTTGTGTGCATTCTGATGACACTTGGGGAGGGGTGTGTGTGTGTGTGTGTGTGTGTGTGTGTGTAAGCTGAAGTGTGGCCCTAGGGATTTCCAGTGGGCAGGCCTTAGTTCTGGAGCCTGAGGAGAAACTAGGGCTGTGTAGAGTTGGCCCTGACACCTCAGGTGAGGCTGCAGGGCTTGGTGGAGCCAAAGGCAGCCGCTGAGAAAAGAAGGCTGGCCTCCTCTCACCTCAGGTCTCCCCTTCCTCTAGGCAGATCATGAGCCATCAGTTCTTCTGGGGCAGGCTGTAGGACGACGAAATTTTCACCACAGGGCCAAGCACTGGGCACCATGGGACAGTGTCGGTCTGCCAATGCTGAGGTAGGCCCATTCACTCCTGGCCTTTCTGCCTCCACACTTCTCCCCTCTGTTCAGAGAATGTGTGTCTCCTCCAGGATTTTGCCCCTCACTTTGTCCTTGCCAGTGAGGCCTGAGTCCTCTCTCTGACCCCCATACAGGGTGGTGCAGATTGAGTCCCCGAAGATGTCTGGACAGGCCCTGGGACCTGTTCTGCTTATTGCTGGAGGAGGCCTTGCCCAATCTGTGGCTTGAGGCAGGGGCCTTGAGGGCAGGGATGAGGGAGATGGGCAGGGTTCTGGGCAGGGGTGGTTGCCTTCCAGCTGGCTTCTACTCTGCTGGCTTTGCTAAAGCTCCTAGGGAAGCAGGGTGTCTGTCATGGAGTGGGAGGTGTGCCCCTGACCTCTGTCTCCTGCCCTCAGGATGCCCAGGAATTCAGTGATGTGGAGAGGGCCATTGAGACACTCATCAAGAACTTCCACCAGTACTCGGTAGAGGGTGGAAAGGTGACACTGACCCCGTCTGAGCTCCAGGACTTGGTCACTCAGCAGCTGCCCCACCTCATGCCGGTACTAAGTGCGGACCTCACCCCCACAGTCCCCTGGCTTCCCACGCAAGTGCTCCAAGACTTACCCATGCTGGTCTGGCGGCCCAAGCTCCTCCCCCTTGCCAGTGCCAGGTGGCTCAGGCTCTGCTGCCTGCTCCTGGGCAGGGTGGGGTGGGAAGATCTGAAGGTGCTACCTTGCTGAGCTATGGTGTCTTCCCTCCCCTCAGAGCAATTGTGGGTTGGAGGAGAAAATTGCCAACCTGGGCAACTGTAACGACTCTAAGCTGGAGTTCGGGAGCTTCTGGGAGCTGATTGGAGAAGCAGCCAAGAGCGTGAAGCTGGACAGTCCTGTTCCAGGGAGCTGAAGATCCCTCCTGGAATTCACGGGGGGGGGGGGGGATGTTGGGGAGAGGGCATCTTAGAGACTGTGGGCTTGGAAATAAAATTTCTCTCCAGGGGCTATACCTGCCCCACATTCCCCAGCTTGCACCTCCTTGTCCTGCTCCTCCCTTGTGCTCCCCCTGGGCTTGTGCACTGTCCTAGGAGCTTCAAGGAGCTCATGGGTCTAGGATCCCCCACAGTGAAGGAAGCTCAGGGGAGGTTGGAGCCTGGGAGGGCATAGAGGGATAAGGGTGGTGTAAGGGCCAAATGATTTGGTAGTAGGGAAAGGGCAGAGAGGAGCTGGGTTGTGGGAAATGACTAGGAGAATGGGGTGGGGTGTGGCTGGACATTGGTACTGAAAGGGTGTCTGAGAACCTACCCTTTTTCTCTCCTCTCCAAGCTAAACTGTAACTGTCTGTCTGGTACTATCCCTTCCTACACCCAGCCCTGCTCTCGCCTCTATCCCTGGGCTAGGGAGGACAGAAGGGGAACAGGCTCAGAGAAGAGGCCGATGAAGGCACAACTTTGGGGTGCTTGGACAGTCACAGAATGGTAATTGTTTTGTAAAATTTGATTAATAAAAAAATTGAAAAAAAAAAAAGAGTAGAAGATGTTGTCTTGATTGGATGTCCTTAGGGTCCAGGGCTGAAGGGCTCTTGGGGACTGAGTCAAGGGTTCTTGGGGTACCTTGTATGGAGCCTGGGCAGTGGAAGTGACAGAGAGCTCATTTTCTCCATGCATTTGGGTTGAGGGTTGTACAGGCCTACAAGGTGAAGAGCTGGTTCTCTCTGCAGGCCAGTGTGCTTGCATGTGGCCCTTGACAAGAGATGGATTTTTTTTTTTTTTTTTTTTTTTTTGGTAGTACCAGGGATTGAACTCAGGACCCTATGCTGGCCAGGCAGGCGTTTATTCTACTGAGCTATCTCCCTGGCCCAAGAAGAGGTGGAAAGGTGCATGTGTGTGCACCTGCACCTGGGGGAAGACACGAGTCCAGGTGTCCTGGGGCCTGGATGACTAATGACAAGGAAAATGTGCGGCTGAGGAGTAGGCTCCCTGGCATTCTGGGTCCCCATTGTCCTGCTTGCACCTGGGCCTGCTCTTGGAGTAGGATACCTATGAAGTGGGGGTGTGGACAGTCCTGCCCTGGTGACAGTGTTTGAAGGTGGCATGGCTCACCCATGGGTGGACACTGCCAGCGCTTGTGGACGTCACTGGGGGAGTGGGGCAGGTGTCCTCTCTGGTCTGTCTGCGGTCCCGCTATGGGGAGGTGCAGCTGCCATTTTCTTTCTTCTAAACATTGAGAACAATTTGTGCATATATTATAATGTGAAGAGGTTTTTTCGAGGCTCTTTTCTCTTTTCTGGGCAATTTTAAAATATTTTAGTTTTTAAAAATTTTTGAATAAGAGATGCAGAAAGCACCAGTGGTTGCCAGGGGCTGGGGGCCAGAGGCTGACTACAGTTAGCCCAAGGGAATATCCTGGGCATTCTCTATAACTGGCACATTTATATCTGAGCATGATGGCAGGCACCTACAATCCCTGCCACTCAGGAAACTGAGGCAGGAAGTTCACAAGTTTGAGGGCAGCTGCCATTTATTTGGGTACCCAGGGAAAGCTGGGAGTGAGAGTTTGCAGAGGTACCCCCTGCTGTGTAAGAGGGGCTTGGGGAAGTGTCTCAGGGGAGCTCAGGTTGAGCTGAACGGGTGGGAAGACCAGAGCCACAGCCTTTGGTTCCTGAGTGTTCACGGAAATCAGGTGTTACTCCTAAAATCCCAACTGCTAGGAAGTTTCTGTGTTCAGCTAGGCTGGCCTGGAATACTAACTGAGCTTGTCTATTAGGGACCCCTGAAACTGGCCTTTCAGTGACACAGGTAAGAAGGACAGGTGAGAGTCCTTCCCTTCCTTCCTCCAACTAGTCAGGTTCTGTTCAGGCCCTGGGGGCTAGGAGGGTGGAGTTGGGAAGGCCCAGCTTCCACCACTCAGTCGAGTGTGGGGGTAGAAGGGTGTTAAAAAAGGTGTATATCCCTTTAACAAGGGCCCAACCCCAGGGCCAAGCCAAGAGGGAGCTCAGTCACTACCTCCCCACCGAGCCAGCTCAGCCGGGCAGGCCGAGAGGGAGTGGGACAGTCTGGGAGTGCAGCGCTGCGGGGAGGAGTCCTGGCTGCGCTGAGCTGGGGAGCTGCTTGGCAGTGCCAGAGCCCCGACCCCAGCGCCCTACTGGACAGAAGCTGGACTGAGGAGGCAGGTGAGCACCCCGGGGCCAGCCTCGGAGAGAGGTCGGAGGCTGCCAGAGGGACCCTGCAGGCTTGGGAGGCCAGGAGAAGGGGTGCTAAGGGGACCTGGGGAGAGGGACCTGGCCGAGATTGGAAAGGATTATTTGGTTAATTATTAACTTTCCTCAAGGCTGGTTTGGGAATGGGACGTCCTGGTGAGACTGGGGGCTAGATGGAGCTTCCAGAGGAGTAGATGGGGTGACAGAGACCCTCAGCCTGACCAGCAGATGACTGGGCTCCCCTCCAGGGACTGGGACAGCGGGCAGAGGCACTCCGGAGCTTTGCCCACAGCTGCTGCTCCTTTCCAGACAGAAAGGAGCAAGTGTGCGTTGGTGGGGGTTGGGGGCTGCTCAGACCTTGGACACAGGCCTCCCTGGGCTCTGGGGGCTGTGTCCTGGGGGACTTAACAGGGCCCAGGAAGAACTGGGAAGGGCCCAGAGGCCTGAGCCCGGAGGCAGGGGCTGAGGTGGCTTCTCTTCACCTGAAGGGCCAGGCAGATCCCAGACACAGGCCCCACTGTGCTTAAGGAGCTGTTCCCTGGGAGGGGCTTGGGTGAGGCCCTGAGGAGAAACCTGGGAGCTCCCTGGGAGAAGGACAGAGAGCGCGGGGAGAGGACTTGGACCTGGAACTGGCTGCTTCTCCACCACCGGGCAGGTCTTTGCTTGACTTGTTTTGCCTTTTCAGGGGTGGGGGTCACCTGCTATGTGGGAGCCTTCCTCTGTCCAGCCCAGCTCATGTGAGGGGTGCTCAGTTTTGCCTCATGCGCTATTGGAGAGCTGTCTGTTGGTCAAACTAGTAGTAGTTGCGTGCGCACGTGTGTGTGTGTGTGTGTGTGTGTGTGTGTGTGTGTACATGTGCGCATGCGTATGTATCTCCTATACCTCCTCCATTTTCACTTGTCTGGAAAAAATTTGAGAGGAATCCACCTCTTCTTCTGAAAGTGAAAGTCGTAGTAGATAAATGGGTTACTCACACAGAGGGCAGAGGGGATGGTGGAGTTCTTTCTTCCACACGTGTGTGTGAGAAACCGAGTCCTTTGAGGTGGGGAAGGGTGAGGCAGGGGCACCAGTGTGAACAAGGAGCCTTGTGCAACTGGGAAAAGCGTACGAGGAGTTGGGCATGGTGGTGCATGCCTGTAATCCCAGCACTTGGGAGGCTGAGCCAGGAGGAGGGAGAGTACAAGGTCAGGCTGTGCTACATAGTGAGAGTTTGTCTCAAAAAAACCTAACCAGCAGCCTGGTGCGTAGGCACACGCCTTTAATACCAGCACCCAGGAGACTGAGGCAGGCGGATCACTGGGAGTTTGGGGCCAGCCTGTACTACATAGTGAACTCAAAGGCCAGCCTGATCTACACACAAGACTCTGTCTGAAAAAAGCAAAAAGCAACCAATCAGTTACTCAACCAACCAAATGAATGAACAAACAAACCAAAGCATGTGCAGGAGCAGAGAAAGAGTTTGTTGCCGTTAGAGAGATTCTTTTGAAACAGGCTTGCAGCTAGACCTTGCATTACTAGCCCAGGTCAGATTGCACCTCCCTGTGTGGTGAAGACAGCTGGGCCAGGTGAGTGAATTAAGGCGACAACTGAATGAATGAATGAGAGGACGAATGCTTTCATGTATGAGTAAGAGAATGAATGAGAGTGAATACATGATTTAGCAATGAATGTGTAAGCAGATGAATGGTAGATGATGGATTGGAGGTAGATAGAACGGACACTGATAATGTCAAACTTAGGTCAGAAAAGGGTTAAGCAGGCTCAGGTGAGGACAGTGACCAGGAAGAACAGAAGCCAAGGGACACATCCCAGTGGAAGACAGATGAAAGACTCTTGTGGGGTGGAAAGAGGTGAACTTTGGAGGATGGTGTGGGCTTTCAGGATGTATACTGAAGGGCACAGGTGCGGGGAGTTGGGGTGGTTAGCTGGTGGGCAGAGTGGGTGTGAGGGAGGCCTGCACCCAGGGCCATGGTGTCAGAGCAATTTGGGCTTTTGGACAAGTCAGCAAGCTGGGCTTAGGTGGGTGGGGGGAGGAGCCCTCTGTTGCTCAACAATGAATCAGCCCTGAGGAGATGATGAGAACACTGGGGGAGGGGTGGGGCCCGAGGTGAGGGGTCCCTTTGAGGGTCCAGTGATCCTCCCAGCTCCTGCTTGTTGGAAGGCTTGTGTAGTTCATCTCCCACCCCCTCATTATCAGGCCTATATCTGCTGGCGGCAAAATCAAAGCAAAAATGACCTCCTGGCCTCCCCTACCTGCTTGGGAACCTCAGGCTTGATGCTGGCAAGACAGGGGTGGCTGTGTGATGGGTGGGGTAGTAGAGCCTGTCTCCTGGCTCCCAGGGAAGGCGGGGGAAGAGGGGGGAGTTATGACACCTGCCTGGCCCGCTGTGCCCTGCCTTCAGAAAATCCTCTTGTACAGATGGTTCAGTGTTGGCCATTTTATAAGAAGCAGGTATGGAGAGGCAGATTGCTGGGAGTGCCTGGGGATGGAAGACCAGGGACACTGAAGCAACATCTCTGAGTCATCCGCACTTCTGAGGTGCAGAGCTGAGCTGGCTTTGGGGTGCTCGGTGTGTCCAGAGGCACCTAAAACACCCGTTTTAGGTGCCTCTGGAGTACTCTAAAACACCCGTTTTTCCTTTTTCTCTTCTTCTCTGTAGGATCCTTCTTTGAGGGAACAGGTAGGGATGGTTAAGGTGAGGAGAGATCTCCATGTTGGGCCCTCCCAAGGCTTGATATGAAATGAGCTTGGTGAAATCCTTCCCCAAATGGGAAGTTTTTAGAATCCACTAGAAATGCCAGTCATCGACTAGGGCTACTCTCTCCCTCTTTAAGGGCAGCATAGCAGACAATCATGGGTTGAAAAAAATTTGCCTCTTTATTTGTTAAAAGTTAGAGGATTTCAGACTGGGTGTGGTGGTGTGGGCCTGTAATCCCAGCGCTTGGGAGGCTGAAAACAGGAGGATCACTATGAGTCCAATCTATGTAGTGAGACCCTGTAGACCTTGTACTAAAAAAAAAAAAAAAAAAAAAAAAAAAAAAGAGGATTTGGGTGAATGTCTGACAAGGCACAAAAACTGAACCACACAGTCACACACTTAGCAAATAAAGAGGACAGAAAGATTATAGTCCCTGTGTTGTATGTCATCCTTCCAGCCACAAACCAAAGTGGTCAGGCTGCAGAGGAACAGGAGGGCAGTGTTTCCTACCAGAGAGGCCCCAGCCTGACCCCTCTTCCCTTTCCAGTGTCCTTCCTTTTTACATCCTGGCCTGCCTACTTCCTCCTGGTTTCATATTTCCTTCAGAAAAAAATCTCCATAAAAGAAAAAGCTTAGAAAAATGGTCAAGGGCCTAGTGTCAGGGCTGAGAGGAGGTGAGATATTTCTAGAATACCTCCCTTAAGCAAAGCACTGGGCCAGGAGTGACCCAGAGACTAAAATGAAGCTTGTTGAACATCCAGGATATAAAGGTGTCCTCAAGTCCGTGAGCTTTGCCGTTATGTGCAGACAACACAGTGGCCCCAGCAGGCGCTGGTGTAGTGCAGGTGGAGAGGTGCATGGGGTCAGGGAGGAGCACGCTGAGGGCAGAGGTCATAGGAGGCATGGTTTGGGCAGGGCCAGAGCCATGAGGTGGTTTCTGCCGGGTGGAAGGTGCACAGCAAGAGGCGTGGCAGTAAGAATGGCGGTGGAGGGGAGCAGAAAGCGGGCAGCAGGGGCAGGAATTGGCAGCAGGGCCTGGCATAGGGGCTCGCTCTCCTACATCAGACCGCGCGTGTGCAGGCCTGTGTGGCAGGAGGCTGTGTCCCTGCTGGGTCCACCTCCCCTTGCTATGACCAGCTGGGTGAAGGCGACTGGAGCTCTGATTCCTTGGCTTGAGGGCGGGAGGGGAGTCTGATTTGCCAGGGTTGACTTGGGGGGGCTCTGGGCATGGGCGGCGACTCACAGAGTAGATCCGCCTGCTCCCTTGTATCCTGTTATTCAGAAGGCTGTATCCGCTTGGAATGTGAGTGCCTTTTGTCCTGGGTTAGAGGGTGACAGAGTTGCAGCTGCTGTGTCCAGGGTCTGTCTCCAGCTGTGGTAGCACCCGGCCTGGCTCTTCCTTAGGTAATGGAGTAGGGGGTGTTGTTGTATTCCTGATGATCTCTAGGGGTGCATGGGGGGAGGCTTGTAGAGGTTGGCTGTGGTACGCAAAATCTAATTGTTGGGTCAGGGCCTTGTCCTTTCCTGGAGCCTTGGCCTGAGCCCCCGGCTTTGCTGCCTTTGAGCCTGAAGAGGTTGGGGTTCTCCTAGGCCCCCAGTTCCTCCTTTGTTACTTGGGGCTGGGGTTGCTGCAGTCCTGAGGATTGCAGATAGAGCCCCACAGCCTTGGCCCCCCTCTGCCTTGGCCCATCCTAGCAGCTCCTAGCTGTGCTTGCCTGAGCCCTGGGTCGCCTGCCTAGGTGCAGTCAGCAGGCAGGGCTCCTCCCTCCTCCTCTTTCCAAAGGAGCCTCTTGCTCTGAGGTGCCTGCAGCTGGCAGCCCAGAGCCCAGGGCTGGGGAAGGACCCGGAGAACCTGTCCAGGCAGTTGAGCTGGGAAGCATCTGGATTAGAGGAACCACATAGCTGTCATTCCAGGGCCACCCCCCACACCCCTATGTTTCCCTTTCCACTCCTTCCCTTTTCCAGAGGATGGATCATCCTGGAGCCTATGAGGGCTCAGGGTGGGCACCAGTTGGAGGCTTGGCCTCTGGAGTCTCTTCTCATCTTCCTCTTTATGATGCCCAAGCCAGGAAGGACCTGAAGGAGGGAGATGGCGGACTGCTACACAGATCTGGAGAAGGCTGTCGTTGTCCTGGTGGAGAACTTCTATAAATACGTGTCTAAGCACAGCCTGGTCAAGAACAAGATTAGCAAGAGCAGCTTCCGCAAGATGCTTCAGAAAGAGCTGAACCACATGTTGACGGTGTGACCCCCACCCTCGCAGGCCTGTCCTGTCCCCTTCCCACGCTCTTTGGGTGCAGTTCCTCAGGGAGGCCTCTGTCTTTCCTGTTCCTCCTGCCCCAGGATCCCTTTGGCCCCCCACAGGCCTCTGTCTTCTCAGGATGCCCAGGTTGAGCCAGTGAGGGCTCTCTTTTCCCAGGGGACAGCTGCCCAGACTCCATTCTGGAATTCAGCTGTGGGCCTACATAGGAGCTCTCTGGGGCTGCTGCCCTGCATTATTGCTGACCTCTGTTTCCCCTGCAGGACACGGGAAACCGAAAGGCTGCGGACAAACTTATCCAGAACCTGGACGCCAACCATGACGGGCGCATCAGCTTTGACGAGTACTGGACCTTGATAGGCGGCATCACCAGCCCCATTGCCAACCTCATCCGTGAGCAGGAGCAGCAGAGCTAGAGGCCTGACCCCTGCCAGCCCTGGCGTTCGTCCCAGCCTCCCTCAGTCTCCTGGCCTTCCCAGCCCCTTTTCTCCTCCTCTCTCTGGACTATCTCCTGACCTTTGCTGCCCAGTGGAGCGGAGATAGCAGAGTTCCTTGTGAGAGTCTCAGTCTGAGGATGCTTCCCTCAGGGTCTCAGTCCCTGGAGCCAGCAGACCCTCAGGGCTCCTCTAGGAGATCTCAATGCTGTTGGGGACCCCCAAAATCTCCTCTGCTGTTCAGTCCATCTACCCTTCCAACACCTGATGTTCCTGTCTGGTTCCTGCCTGATTCTGCATCTGTGTTGACAAACAGAGGCAAGTTTACTGATGAGGTCTCTCTGTTCCCGGTGGCAGCAGCAGGGACCTTGCCCTTCCCCTCAGCCCTTTCTGGGGTGGGGTCAGGGGGGAGAAGCACCTTCAGGGACTCCCCTCCAGCTGCCCCTGTCTGGGAATGAGCTAAACAGGGCTGAGCACATCCCTTTGCTCAGCCATTGAAATACTGGCAATAAAGGCTGGATTTGGAGTTTGCATCCTCTCGTCTGGTCCCTTTGTGATGCTCATTAAACTCTTCACACTTTTTATAAATGTCTTCTGCCTTGGTAGCCTTTGCCCTGGGCCTTGAGGCCAGGAGGAATCTCAGAGACCCCAAAGGTAGAGCAAGGTGGAAACCACAGCTGCTGGATCCCAGGAATGCTGCCATCCCTGGACCAGCAGCTCTTTCCCTCCTGCTTCATGAAAGTCCTGAGGCCGCATGTCACCACCCCTGGCCCTTCTGATGCAGACTTAGATTCCTGGTCAGGCCCACAATAGGTCTCTTTTAGTCCTCACTGCACTTCTCCAAGAGGAGCCGTGCATAGCGTGGAGGCTCTGGCACCGTCTCAATAGGTTATTCTAATACCCGTGGAACTATGGAGGCCAGAGGGGAAAAGAAACGCTGCTAGAGGGGACAAGGCCAGTTTCTGTTTCTGTCCTGCATTTGCCAGAAGGAATATGTCAGGAAACTCAGCCTTCAGCGCTTTGGATTAGAAGTTTTTCAGTTGGGAAAATTTGTACCAAGTTCAAGAGTTTCCAAAAGACTCACAGGCACATTTACCTTCAGCCTTCTAAAATTAGTCTTATTTGGCAAACAGGCTGGCCTTCCAGGCATAGCACTGCCTCCCTTTCCCATCACCCCTGGACAATAACCTTTCCCCAATTAAAAGTGAAAGGCAGGGCTGGCCAAATAGCTCAGCGGATTAAAGTGCTTGCAAGTGGGCGCAGGGGCCTGGGGTTTGATCCTCTGGGGAGCACAGCTGTAATCCCAGCTCTTGGGAGGCTGTACACAGGTGGATCACTACGAGTCTGATCTGCTAGTGAGACCTTGAACACCCTGTAGACGCTTGAAAAAAAAAAAAATGGAAGACATCTCCTTTATATATGTTAAATTTTACTATGTGGCCCTGAATCAGTGGTAAAGAACCTATTCACATTTGTGTGTATGTGTGATCTATCTATCCATTCATCCATAACCATCCATCTGTCTTATCTATCTGTCCATCTGTCCATTCATCTTCCCAGCCACTCCATCCTTCCATCCATCCATCCATCCATCCATCCATCCATCCATCCATCCATCCATCCACTTATCCCTCTGTTCTATCTGGCTGTCCATCCATCTGTGCATCTATCTGTCCATCCATCCATCCATCCATCCATCCATCCATCCATCCATCCATCCATCATTGCAATAAACCCCC